AATTTAACATGCCAGCATTGTTTAAGCATATGTACAGCCTATACATCCTTAATCACCGTTTCATGCGCGTAAGCTACTCGATCTATCATCTTAAATTCTTCGATATTCACGCGGAGTGAAATCCTTGGCGCTATTACCGAGGGTGAATACAGACGAGGCGCTGCACAAAGAGCGCGTCTAAGTCTGGAGACACATTCTTCCCGATAACCTTTGTTCGAGGGGCGTGAAAAGCCGCCGGGAGAATTCGGCCAATTTTTTTGTTCATCGCATCGCGGCCAACTTTTTCATTTGGGCTTGCAGCTGCTCGCCACGCGCATTCCCTTTCTCATTCATCGTCAGAGAATTGGACAGGAATCGATTTTTGGGACGAGACTAGATCCATAACTGCCCCATCGAAAGAAATTGAAACACAGAATGTTTGGGAATAGAGGAAAACTTTGAATACGGTTTTAAAAGTTTCGCCATTGGTCATGAGACGCCAATAAAAATGTAATTAATGTGTTAAACCGTTCGAGCTTACAATAATTCGGTTAAGGGGATTAGATAGAAGAGAGCAGATTATTTGTTCCTCTGGAATTAGCTCGTATAATCTGGTTCACAAATTTATTGCCATCTCAGCGTCTAGGCGACTATCAGAAATGCTCACTCTATGCTCTAGATTAAAGCTGCATCGTCTCAATAGTAGGAGGATAATTAATAAGCTGCTGTATCGCATTTCGGACTGCATTCAGTAATTAATTCAGCATTCTAGTAGAATACCGAGGTTCGAACGGAAGATCGTATGACTATCGCTCAAGATAATTAACAAGGAACCGTTGCCACGATTGTATACAGTAATGGTCACCTACAGGAAATGAACAAGTCTTCTCAGAGGAATATTTAAATATGCTACTATTTTGAACGACTGTTTAAATGTTTCTTAGAAATCAAATATCCGAAACAGAGTACAATAGGAAAACAAATCAGCACTAATTTTAGCATTACATTCGTTTAACGTAAAAGTTGAAGTTTTATATTTCTGTTGAAGCATTTGCATCTTTTAGATTTTAAAAATGATGAATACATAGATTTTAAAAATCTGCGAAAAGGAAAATATAATGGTGAAAGAGTACGCGTCGATCACTTTACCTGATAGAATTGGAGCTGCGTGGTCGTAACTCTGTTTCTCCTTTGAGTTTTCGCCGTGAATACCAAAGAGCCACAAACAAATTCGACGGAAATACCAAACTGAGATATGGGAACGGTTTTGCAACTGATAAAGTAATGGAAAATCGATTTTCGCGTGGACACGTGGCGTCGTCGCGTCGCGTCGGGACGGCTGGCGTCGTTACGTGTGTGTATGGTGGTCTCGTGTGCCTTCGCGAATGGTTCCCCCGTTCTTCGCCCCAAGATTCTTTCCCTCCGTCTCTTTCTTTCGTCCTTCTCCGACTAACCAACCCCTCTTTCTATATAGCCCTCCCTTCCATCGTTGGCCATGATATGTGCATACCACGGTATCTCCCACTACGGGTTTCCCCTTTCGAGCACGATGGCCAGCCATCAGGCTTGGTCGGGTTGATGGGTACCCGCTCCCGAGAGGCCCCCGGAGGGATGTAACGAGCAACTCGAGTGCCTCGTTCACCATAAATTCACCGTGAATCAACAGTGTTCTCCGGACGAGGTC